AATAAATGAGACTGACACACCAGCTAAAGAGGGGGGAGCTTTGGTAATGCAGGGTATTTTTGGCAGAAATTTAACACTGGAGTTTTCATGGGAATACAATTCTTTTTTTTTTTTCTTTTAAGCTTCTTTGCAATCTCAAAAGATTTCTAAGCAAGTCCAGGTAATCAGAGAGACTGTTTAACCTGCTTTATTAGTTATTAGCAATGATTTTGGTCTTTTTTTTTTTTCTTTTTTTTTTAGGTATTCTGTGAGTCAGCATCCAGTCCTTGCAAGAATTCCAAGTCACAATCCAAAGGGTAACCCTTGCATTAATAAATTCCTCACTCACATTCCAGCACACAATGATGTCCCACATGATATTGTGGCAGTGAGGAGCCCCCAGGAATTCTGTGGAATCAAGATGAGTTATAGAAGATATTGTCACACAAAACCATCCTACTTCTCTTCTTCTGAGAGTTGTTCTGCTCCCAGAGAAACACAGAGGTATTCCCAGGAATTTCTGAATAAAATATCAAAGCCACCAAGATGGAATTACCACAGTAAAACTCAGCCTGAGCAGCTGGGTCAGCTTTAGTCAATAAGGCAGAGACAGCAATTTTCACATTAATTTCAAAACTTGATTCTCCAAAGTGCAGCCAGAAATTCTTCAGAAGCACAACTTGGTGCAGAAGAGTGATCCAGGGAATTCCAAGATTCTGTTATTGTTCTTTGAAACTAATTTATTTTTCACATTTTTCATTTTTTCAAATTCTCAAATTGACTTTTCAAACTTGCAAATTTTTTAAAATCACAACCTGATACACAGCGGTGATCTGTGCAACTCCAAAGTCCCATTAATGTAATTGACACCAATTTATTTTAATTACACCCCAAGACATTTTCCCAATCTGAAAGTTAAATCCCACTTGAACAGTTGTAATGTGATGGCTTTACCCACAGAACTACCCAAACCACTGCAGACTCTTTCCATCAATCACCACAAAATGAAGCTGCTCACACACATTTGCACAAAAACTGGAGTTTGGATATTGATGAAAGAGACCTGAAATGAAAGTTTGAATGCTTTTTTTCACAGAAATATTGAAACAAAAGAGACAATCACCCTGGTTTCTAGGATCAATAATTTATTTCTTTTATTTTTTCTTTTACATTTTGCAATTTGTTACAGGAGAAGAAACACTTGCTAATGGAAGTGACATGTTTTTGAACCATTTTCCAAGGTAATGGAAAAAGTTAAGCATATTCCCTAGGATGCACATCAATGACTAAGCTGCCAATATTAAACCAATTGAAGCAAGTGCAGTCCCTATTTAAACCTCGTATAAATTAATTTAAGGACTCTCCTTCTCCTACAGGAAGACTAAAATGTAGCATCTAATTTTCTTTTCTTTTTTTTTTTTAATCCTGAAGTCTCAATCTTTTCTCTCTCTCTACTTAATCTGCAAAAAGTCAAACAGGCTGAAGCCAAAGCCACAGAAGGGATTCTGTGCCAAGGTTCCTTCTATTCCTGGTGATCTCCTCAGTTCCCTCCTGTCCCAAAAAGGAAACAAAGGACTCCCAGTTTTCTGAAAACCAGATTCTCTGCATGACAGTGCATTGCATGGGCCACAGTGGATGTTCTCCTAGCAAACAAATCACTACCAAGGTACAAAGAATTAGAAATTAACTCAGTAAAAATGCTCCTAGCGTTTTCCCAGTGGTATAGCAACCAGAATCCTACTTTCCTTCCACAAAAAATAGATTTTTTTTTTTATATAAATACATCTTAATACAGACAATTCTGTTTCTATGCCAAGAAAAAAAAAAAAAAAAAGTCACATTCAAACAGGTTTGCTGTGTGTGTTCAGATACAGGCAGACACCAGAGCAGGCAGGAGCACAGGGGGGTTTTGGGGGGCTGCAGACACACAAACACCATTCCACCCACTGACCAGTGATGGGGAGAACAACTGAGCTGCAAGGTGAGACCTGGAGCATCACAGCCCTCAAATAAATCAGCAATTTCCACATGGATTAAATGATATGAACACTCAGTGGTATTTAACATTAATATTGAAAATCCTCTATAAATTTAGGCAGTGTTTAGGCTGGGGGTAGAGAGAAGAACCGCGAGCAGGAGCTCCCAGCTGCCTCAGACCCAGCAGAAAATTGAGTCACTCACCATGGCCTTGAAGCTCTTGGGTCCAAATAGCTGAAATTAATGCTTTTTTCTGTCCTTGTCCTCCTTTCCCTCACTTTTCCCCCCGCAAAATGCACACAAACCTGCCCAAATTTTGTGCCACCACACAGCTCCAGCTGCTGCCCCGCAGCCCCAAACAACAGCAATGATTTCTGTGGTTTCCTTCCTAACCAGATCTAATTAAAACTGAGCTGTTAACCATCTTTTCCAGGTTATGAATAATTAATAGAGCATTTTTATAACACTTACTAAATATGACAGTTGGTATTAGCATTTTCTTACCTCAAATAGCCCCCAATCTTTGCATGAATAAAAGTTCCTTTTAAATTTGCCATTAAGATTGGGGTTTATTTTTTATGGGTCAATACGTAGGATAATTCTCAATATACCTTAACAGTTTTTTCTCAAATTGAAGAGATTTTGGAAGTAGCCTGCATGTTTCACACACAGCCAGCCACCACTGTGACACTACACACGATTTTGGAATAAAACTCAGAGGACAGAGATGGAAAATAGAGCATCTTACCGACCTGCTCAAAAAGTAAGACACAGAGAGAGATTATGAGCAAGAACTAAACCCCAGCAGCTTGTTTTCAACCCTGGGGAGACTTTCTACATTTAAATAAATAAATAAATAAACTCTTCTGAGTCAGGAAGGGTGGATCATTCAGTTATTTCAGAAATGTCACCACGTAACGGATAATTCACAGAAACAATTTTGGCTTTTGCCACTGAACTGAGAGCAAAGTTTCTAGATTTTCAACCACAGCTGATGTGTTAATTATTACAAAAAAAAAAAAAAAAAAAGGCTCTCTCCCTGCCACAGAAGTGTGAGTTATTAGAGCATGCAGCTCACCACCAATGTATTCCTGCTTTCCTTAAAAACCCTGACTAGGAAAGGAATCCAAGACTGACAAAGTGAAGAAAATATGTCAAATTATAATTTCACTGAAAGAATGTGTTGAGCCGTAATTTCCCTGTCTCTCAGAAAAATTATGTCACTATTAGCACTCAGAGAGACTTAGTTTCTTTCTCCAAGATTAAGTCACTGTGTAAAGCACACACTTAATCCTGTTTTATGACAGGAAACAGACAGGCATTATTAGCAGATAATCTTAGTTAGCTCTTGGATGTTTTCTTTCACTTTCAAAAAGTCGGATCCCAAATTGCCAGGCTGGCTTGTTAAAACAAAGCTGTGGTGCTAATTAAAGTCATGTTTAAAATGAGATCAAGGAAGAAAATACAACAATTCTTTTTTTCCCAGAGCCAATATTTGGTGATTTCGCAATGAACTTCTAAAGTAAACCCAATAATGATGAACGTTAAAATACAAAATAATAGCTAGTCAAGAAGATTAACAAATTCTTCTGTGAACAATGCTGCTAAGACTTCATTCTCAACTGGTTTATAATAAGAACCAGCTGACAATTTAAGGGAAAAAAATGTGGGTTTCACAACTGGGCTGCAAACTCAGCTCCCTTTCAGAAGGAAGTTGAAATTATTGGGTGCTGCACAAAGTTTGGTCTTTAACACTAAATTCTGAAGGTCGTTTTTAAGCAAAACAAGGACAGAAGTGGCATTAAAACAGCAAGTCTAGAGCCAAAGTTTTTGAAGAAACATTCTTTTAGTGCTGTTTATGTGCCTCACGTCAACACCACACGTGATGCTGCTGCACGAGCAGGTGGGAAAGGCACAAAATCTCTCTCCTGGACAGTGATTCCCACTGTCTGCAAAGATTGTGGATGTGGATGGCCTTGAGGAAATGCTAACAAATAATTCCCAAGTGAAACAGAGAGATAACAGTGATAACTGCTTTAGTGGGACACAGGGAAAAGCACTTCCATTGCACTTCCCACAGAAAGTTCTGTTGTTTGCCTGGGTTTGGGAATCAGAATTTGTTACTTGTGGCAAACTCTGGGGATTTTTAATAAGAGCAAAATTGTCCTAACTGAAAAGCTAGAGCTAAAATTGGTTGAAATTGATTTTATTGAAAATGTCCAATCTTTATTTCTGGCTTAAAATATTCCTAATAATATTGAGGCAACAAATTCACTCAGTGTAATACCTCCCATATGATTCACAGTAAATTTTCTGTGAGACTGGAATCATTGCATATATAATCTGAATTATAAAAGATTTCAGAGAGGAGCAGCTGATAATTCATCCTCTGGTGTTTAACCTCAAACCCACCCCAGAAAAATGTCAGCAATTCCATCCACACTCTGCACTCCTGGGAACACAGTGACTTTCTCTTGGTTCTTTTATAAGGGGCATGTCTACCACTCAAATTTCCCTTGATTAGAGTAATATTTTTATGGAATCTCTTTTTTTGAAAGTCTTGAAAGGCATAAAAAAGGAGCAGAACATGACTATTTCAGAGGAAACTCCATCAAATGACCCAAGAGACCACACCTGATCTCGTCACAACATATTAAATAGATGACTGGCAATTCTGGGCAAATTCAATTCCTAAAAGTCTTTTAAAAATCTTATACACTGAAGTGACTATTATGAACAGCAGGTGAAAAATGAACCCCCAAAAAGCCCTGTACAGGGTGGTAATTATAAACATTCATTCTATTTCGTCTTTAAACTAATATTTTTCTCTCCTGCAAATTGAAAGTAAGCTCAGAAATACTTAAAACTTGCAAAATGTCATTGGAGATATGATTTAACAGTCCTGATTTAAAAAAAAAAAAAAAAAAAAAAAGGTTGGGGAAGGAATGAAAACATTTTTGAAACTATTTCCATCTTTAGTAATTATTGTGCTATAAAATTAATGGTCAGTAGCTCAAAGTACTGCACAAACAATGAGGAAATCCTTTGTATCTCTCAAACTGATCAGTCAGCCGTAGGCTACTTGTATGATTTAACACACTAGAGACAAAAAATAGTGATAAACACAAGTCTCACTGTGATAAGAATTACTACAAGCTACTACTTGTGTAAAACCAGTGAACTTGACACACTTTTGTAGCTACCAAGCTTAATAAAAACTGTGCTGTAACCTAAAATCACTGGTTTGGTTTTTTTTAAAGAAACTGCTTCCTCTCTCAGCAGTCAAAAAAGCCAAGCCAAAAACAAATGGTGACACACTGAAAAGTGACCACAACCCCAACAAGAGCACAAAAACCTCCCTGGCCTTAGGCTACAGTTGGAATTGTTTTGTAGTCCTGTCTGACACAGGCTGCGACTACAGAGATGCTCATCACGACTGGAAATGGTATTTTTATAAAAATTATTACAGTTATTACACCTATCTGAGGCTAACATAGAATGTTCCACTTCAACTCACAGAATTAGACATGGAGACATCAAGTATTTATAGAAATATCTACAGACTGCAACTGTCTTTTATTTTTGTTGTTTTTTTCTTTTTTTTTTTTTTTTTTAAGTATCAGTGAACTGACCTTCAGAGTAAGGGTTTCATGACAACAAGTCACCCCACACTAGTTTATTCTTGGTGTTGCTATTTCTTGGGTTAAATTGGTGTTAAACTTCTTCCAGAAGAGAAGAGAGAACTCTTGCTAAATTTTTTTCCTGTGTGTTAAACTTGTAGATTATTAGATTTAGCTTCACCTGTATTATTATCTGATGAGAAACGTTTTTAACAAAGGGAAAACGCTGTCTTAACCTCCTTTAAATGCAGATACACATAGAAAATTGGAAATTCCACACTCCCCAGCTGCCCTAGACATTTAAAATGTTGCTCTAACAAGCAGTGCTGAAGTTCTTATCTTGGTATCGAGCAGAGATGAAAAAAATAGACATGGGAGGAAAAGGCTGAATGTTAAATACAGCAAAAATGTTAAATAAAGCTAAAATCCTCCTGGTTTTCCTAATTATTCTGCAAAAAAAACCTGAAATCAGTGGAATGTATTTATGGAGGTTCATAGACCCACAATGCCATTTTACCTTCATCTGAAATGTAAAAGGAATGTAAATGCAAAAACACCCAATTAACACAGCTCTGTCACTGAACTACTGCTCTTCATTGCAGGTTTTGGTGTTTCCAAGGTTAAACAGAACATTACACAGAAGGATTGACACTAAAGGATGAAATACTCGTGGAGAGAGCCAGTCTGAAGATGAAGCTTGCCTTTGTGAGATGTTTTGCTCGATATTTTCAACAGGCTGGACAAGTTAAATTGGCCTTTGAAGCATTCACAAAGAGATACAACCACTCAAACCTCTGCATCCATCCACTGCCGTGGTTTCTCTGATTACATTTTTTGGGAAAGCAATCAAGCAATCCTAAAAGATACTCGAGGGCAAGAACATAAAACTCACAGAACTAGGGCAAAACCCCTCAGGTCCCACAAGGCCATTTTCAAAGCAGACACTCAAAAGAACTTAGGGAAGTGGTATCCAAAGATCATTTTTAGCTTAAAACTTCTGAAGAGCCAGGTCTGCTTCAGAGCTCAGAAGAGATGTCATGAAACTCCTACTGCGGCAAAGAGTCCTTGGTTGGTGGATCCTTGTCCAGGTGACACTGCAGGAGCTGGAGGTGTTGGGATCCCTGACGACTTCCAGAGGGAAGGGGAGCCAGCGCGGCTGGGGCCGTCCAGCCCACCACGCTCAAGGTCCTCCACTGTAGGAATAATCTGCCTTGTTGTGCATCACCAGCTTGTTGTCTACAAAGTAGAAACTGTCCGACTGTGTCTCGTAGGGGTGCAGGATCATCTCTCGAACTGCCAGGGGGAAAAAACCCAGTTAATGGGAGGCACGGGAATGTTCCCCCTCTGGATGGAGTGACAAAACTGTCCTTTGTCCCCTCAAAAAGGAAAAGAGCCCGGAAGTTTCTCTCCTCAATTAGGTGAAAAGGCATCTCATAGGACCTGAGGACTTCACCTCAAACTTAAGGACAGCTAATTGGACAGGAGGCAAAAAGTCCCACCTGAGCAATTTATTAGAAAAAAAAAAGAACAAAGGAACTAATCGCTTTTGTGAGGTGTTTTACCGGGGCAAGGACCTCCTGCACCTGGCTGGGTTTTTCTCTGTAAAGAGTTTTGTTACTGTGCCTTTTATTAAAACTTTTTTGTGTCCAACACTACCACAGAAGCCATCCTGTTGATTTTATGCCTTCTAAGGTAGCTGAGCTATCTTGGGTGTGAAATAGATGTCCAAGAATTTATGAGACCTGGCTCGAAGAGACCCTTATTTCAGGGACACTCATTTCAGGGCTCAAGCATTGTTCAGTGTCCCCCAAGCACCTGAAAAATCAGGTGAAAAACCAAAACCCAAATGGGAATTTCCCAGACCACTCCTTCTTGGTATCTTTTAAATAATTCAAGCATAATCATGGAGTTTTTGTGTTGGAAAAGCCCTCAAAGGCCTTAAAATCCAACCTGAATTCACTAAACCCTTGAGCCACATCCACACTTTCTTTGAGAAATTTCAGGGCTGAAAACTGTTCATAATCCAAATATATTATGGCATCATATAAAGGGGACCTCAGAATAAGAACCTATTACATCTTGGGTGGGTTTTTTTTATTTTTGTTTTGTTTTGTTTTTAAAAACAGTGATAAAACAGCAAAATCAAAGTAAATTTGTTCTGGCCTGACAGCAGGGCCTCACTGTATTTTCCACAGACTGCAGTATTAGTGCTGACACACACAATTAGGGGTTGTAAAGAGGAAAATCACAGAGATTTAGTGCTTGTGCTATTGTGTCTTGGGAGAGAGGAGAGAAAATAAAAGTTATGTTCATACTAAAACCTCTCAAGCTCACAATAATATAGCACATCAAACATTAAAACAGATCATAACATTTAAGTTATCCATTTATTGGATGTCTTTTTAATCTTATTTCTTGCTTCTTTTATAACACAATTATCTTTTTTCTCCCTGATACTGAAGCTTCCCTTTTATGAATTAAGAAAAAAAAAAAGAAAAAACCCAAGCAACTGCCTGGTGTGTGATGAGATACATCCTACTAGAAAACAAAATCAGTGTTAACACAGATATAAAAGGATGAATTATTCTACCCCACCCACTCTCTAGAGACAGCTTTTAAGAAAAGGCTCCCCCCAAACCACCTCAGATGAACATCATGGTGTGACAACCCAGAAATGAAAGTTTATAACAAAGAGCTTACTGAGATCCTCCGAGAGCTGGGGGAATTCATAGATGTGCTCACAAGTATTTTTACTGCTGGGGATGCAGAAGCCAAATTCAAAATCAAAACTTTTCAGCAGCTGGTCACGGAAGTAGTGCCGCTCAATCATACGGAAATTATTAATGGGTTTGTCCCCTACTGTGAATTCCACCCTGAAAAAGAAGGGTAAAACTGACGTGAGCTTTCATGCTTCAGTAAGGTCTGCAATATTCCTGCAAGGCAGAAGAGCTCTGAAAAAAAAAAGAAATGAAAAAAAAGCCAAAAATATAAAGCAACAGCACTAATCAAATTATTGCTCCCTCTTTTACTTAAAGCATTCTGCAGGGACACACCACAGCATTAGATAAACATCTTAAAGCTGCCATGGGCAGGGACACCTTACTCTATCCCAGGTTGCTCCATCCAAGCTGGCCTTGGGCACCTCCAGGGATGAACAGCCACAGCTTCTCTGGGTACCCTGTGCCAGGGCTTCAGCACCCACAGGGAACAATTCCCTCCCAACATCCCATCCATCCCTGCCCTCTGGCACTGGGAAGCCATTCCCCCTTGTCCTGTCACTCCAAAAGTCCCTCTCCAGCTCTCCTGGATTCCTTTCAGGCACTGGAAGGTGCTCTGAGGTCTCCCCAGAGCCTTCCCACTTTATTTTGCCTCTTTTAGCACCAATCCCTTCAGCACCCCTGACTAAACCTAAAGCGACAGCGAAGGCAGGAGATCTGGAGAGCCTCATCATAAATGAAAAAAGCCCCCTGTTCAACCAACTTCCTGGCAGGATGAACATGGAAGAGAGGGGTCTTTTTCCCTGAGATTTCAGCCGTTCTCTGTGCCAGCCCAAGGAGCAGGGGGTTACTCACGTGGCTCCCACTTGCCGCAGCCTGAGGAAGGCCGGCGTGAACTGATAGCGCACGAAGCGTCCGGCGTTGGGGTCCACGTCCTTCCTGTCATTGTGCTCCCGCTCTGCAAAGGCCCAAGGAAAGCCCTGTCAGAGCTGCCTGAGAACCAGAAACTCAGGGGAAATTCTTGTGGTGGTGTTGTCGTGCCACCTAAGCCAGGAAATCGCTCTGGTGCTGAGCTCTCCCCTCCTCCTGTCCGGAGGTGTCCACCCCTGGTCACTCAGAGGTGGAATGTTGACAGATTGGTTTGAGTAATTTCTTATCTTCTGGATTTCTTTTCCTCATCTACTGCCCCTACCTCCAGAGTGACTCTGGACAAGCCATTTCCCCTTAGCATGCTTGGTTTGCTACCTATAAGCTACAGAAAACCTCCTCTCACCTGCAGGGAGGTGGGGAAGGGTTAAAAGTGCTTGGCCAGGAAAAGAACAGCTGCCCTGGGTTTTTATCACCACTGGCAACAGGCAACACTTGGATGCTTACAAGTAACACCTAAAAATTAATCAAACCAAAAAAATAAAAAAAAAGGCAAATGTTCAGTTTGTTTCATTTGCCTGTTGGCAGTTTCTCCCCTTTGGAAATACCAATTTTCCTGACTCCTCAGTGAGAGATGTTAAACTAAACAGCTAAACTATGTGCAGGGGGCACAAGCTGAATAACAGCCAAGAATAAACCACCCAGTGATCTCCTCCTCCTCCTCTGCTCCTGTTTACAACATCCATCTGTCCCTTCCCATCACAGATGGCAGCAGGAAGAGCACAGCAGCAGCCAGCTCTGCTCACCCTGTTAGTACAAAGAGACACCTGAAAAACATTCCTGCTGCAAGATGGGGCTCCAGCCCTCCTGCAGCAGAGAGATTCTGGTACTTTTGGGAAATGTATGGAGCAAAAGGAGTGGGGAAAGGCAAAAGAAAGCATTTGTTCAGGGAAACCTTGTTTTGTGTGTGCACTCACCTGAAGCTGCTGGCTTGGTGATTTCAAACAAGACTGTGCCAGATTCCATGTCCCGGATTTTGAACCTGGTGAAGTCTATCTTGTAAACATTTTCCTCAGGAGTGCACAAATAATCTGCAGGGGGAAGCAAATTTAAGTGAAGGCTGCCCTGAAACACCAGGAATTTCTGGCTGCTCTCTGGAGGCCACACCAGCAGCGAGAGAAGCCCAAATGCATCTCCACTACTGCCTGTTTTAATTCCAAACTGGTGTCTCTGAAGACAGTCTCAGTTCTGGAGGCTCACACTGCCCTGCTCAGACAGGACAGGGGAAAGAATTCTCTCCCCCAACACACAGAGGTCATCACCTTTTCCCAACCCTGTGCCAGGAACTCCTGCATCCATTTCCTCCCAGACTAGTCAGCACCTCCATCAAATCCCGGCCTTTCCAGGGTTAAGAGGCTTTGCCTGTTTTAAAAACTGCCCTGTGGCAGAATTCGAGGGCTAAGCAGCTTTGGGAGCTAAGCTGACTGCACTTAACTGGAACAGGAGTGTCCTCCCCTGTGCCACCTCCCTGCTCCAGCCCTCTGCAGACAAAGGGTGGCCTCCTCTCCCCATCCAGGACTTCTTTTCCTCAGCACTGAAAATGATGTTGAAGCCTTTCCCTACATCAGGAAAACAGGGAGCAGAGCCCTTCCCTGCTGTATCTTTGAGAGAAAGTCATGGAATCACAGAATTGTTAAGGTTGGAAAAGCACTCTAAGATCATCAAGTCCAACTTTTTGCCCTGCACTGCTGTGTTCACCACTAAACCATGTCCCAAGTGCCACATCCACAGGCCTTTTGAACACTTCCAGGGATGAGGATTCCACTACTAACATCCCCATAGTTTTGGCCTTCAGCCTTGCTGTGCCCTGAGCCAGCTCCTGGCACAGGAATCATCTTCCTCCCTGGGGAAGGAGCACATTACAGCACAGATTGAATGCAGCTCCACTTTACCCTGACAAATCTAAAGAAATGCTCTATGTAGACAAGCCAGGTCAGCTTTTAAACAACAGCACATTTGATTGATGTAGGAGACTGGTTCTGGAGGTTCCAAGGTGAAAATAATACTTTTAACATTTGAATTCAAAACACTTTCTCAGCTACTAATTCCTGCTGTTAATCTGAGCTAACCACTTATTTCTGTCTGCTTTACTATTTCTGAAACTCCAACAAATCCATCCACCTGAGGCTTAGTCCCTGAATACATAAAAACAAGTTACAAGTGCTCAGAGCTCAGACCTGCCCATGCCAACCAAACTTCAGCACAGGTCTAAGAAATCCAAGACCACTGTGAGAGACCTCTGAGCTCCTGGGCACAAACACCTGGCACCAGCATTTTCCTAGAAACCTTTTATTCCTTCCAAATCTCCACAACTTGGAGAACTGTCCAAATAAGCTCAGTACAAGGAACAGAGGTGTTAAATGTTCTCCCTGGCCAGTTTTACTGCTCTCCAACAACCCCATATGGTGAATACTCAAAGGAATGCCAGAGAATTTGTAGATGCCCCATCCCTGGAAGTGCTCAAGGCCAGGCTGGATGGGGCTTGGAGCAACCTGGGACAGTGGGAGGTGTCCCTGCATGGCAGAGGGGATGGAAGTGGATGATCTTTAAGGTCCTTCTTAAGCCAAAACACTGAGTTTCTACAATTCTATAAATGGGTGTTCAGGGAGAGGACAGTGTTCAAAGCATCCCTGGCATTTGGCAGGGATTTTCCCTTCCCTATCAACACAGCACAAGGAAAAACTGACACCAGCACGCAAACTGTCAGGAAGAAGAAGCTAAAATCTTGCCTTTTTTACTACCACAAGAAAATACAAGCCTGTGTTAGGTCACATATCCCAAGAACTGCACAAAAAAAAAATCTTCCTTTTGTGTCTTTAACAGTAATCAAGAAGACAGGACAGGAATTTAAACCCAGCCCTCGCCTTAGGCCCTGATGTTTAGCATTCCTCAGGGAGATGTCCTGCAATTATCACACCGTGATTTTAGGCTCTGACACATCAGCCACCCCAATTCCTAACCCGTCCCACAACTTCCCAGCATGCAAAACACAAACTGATGGAAGCAGGCACAGCTTCCACAGCCCAGCTCCCCCTCCCTGCGCCCGTGGCTGTTCCCTGGGAAGGCTGTTGGCAACAGGCAGCAGTCGCCCGGGAGCCCAGGACACCTTCCCTGGAGCACGCTGGCAAATCTGAAGCCTCGCTTGTCTGCAAGTTAATTATTAAGTGTTTCTACTCCTGCAGAATTCCTGCCCATCCAGCACCATGGCAACAGCTTTATCCCCCTCCTTGGCAGCAGCGTTGCTGCAGTAACGGTGTCCATGACTCATCTGGAGCAGAGGAGAGCCAAGCAGAGCCTCCAAAGAGGAGTAAACCCCGGGTAGAATCCCCACCAGGCTCCTGCTCATTGATGCTTGCACCCCTACACTGTTATTTTCCAATTATTTTTGCCCTGATAATATTTTAAACCCTTTTTTTTTGGTTGTTGGTTGTTTTTTGGTTTTTTTAATCAGCAAGCCAATATACAACTGGATGCCATCCGGGAAGATCAGCTGCCAGAATACTGCAATCAAGGGGGTTTTTTTTTCCCTCCTCTGGCAGTGCCCAGTCTCCTAGAAAGGAAAAAAAAAAAACCACAAAAAAAAAAAAAAAAAAAAAAAAAAAAAAAACCAACAACCCAGAGGAATATATATTCCTCTCAGTCTGTATTGCATTTGCTTCTGCTATTCCTGTTCCAAAATCAATCAAAGTAGCCATGTGCTGGCTTGTTCCCCCACACGTAACAGGAGCCTGGGGCTGCACTGGAAGGTCTTATTGGGAATGGGCTGCTTGCAATTGGCAGATCCTTCTGCTTAGCTGAGCACTGTCAGATTTGCTAATCTCATGCCATACACACTTATTTTTAAATTACTGTAGGGCCCAGTTGCCCACACTTCCGTGACTCACTTAAATGTATCATCTGCTTCCCTTATCCTAATTCGCCGTCGCAGGATTTGGGGAAGGGAGGCAGCAGCCGTGGTTATTTTAGCTGGGAATGAGGCAGATCAAACCTCCATGGAGGGGATTGTTACAGAGAATGGTGGGTTGGTGTCTCAGGACAGAATATTGTTTCTTCCTCTTGCCCTGAAGCAGGTTGTGTTGCTTCCCTGTTAATGACTGGACCATCACTGTGTGTCCCTGAGCTTTCAGCACTCACCTGATTTAGGGATGAAGGCATGGACACAGCAGCACTGCCATGGAAAACCCATCAGACTGGTTTTTATCCTTAAGAATCCACATTTAGTAGTGCAAAAAACAGGTCACAAAAGAGGAGTACTTCCTACCCTTTCCTAAAGCCCAGGGAATTGTCATATCCCAGACCTCCATCCCCAAACCCTTCCTGAAAACAATTCACCTGGTATTAGCAGCCACTTCTCACTCACACATCACCCATTCCTGGTGGTGCCTCTCCAGCTTCTTTCCCATAGCCTCTGGATCATGCCCAAAGATCTGCAGCTCCCCACTTTTAGAGACAATTTCTGACTTAAAAATAGAAACGGTGAAGTTGTGAAGAGTTTGGATCACAAGCAAAACCACTGTGGTGGTCTGAGGAAGCAGCAGAGGTGACTGGCTTCCTGAATCTGGCTCAATTAACTCCTTCACAAACTCTCTAATTCCCTTTGTAGGAAAAAGTGATTCCAAAGTGACCCCAAACAGGTCTCTAGCTTTGCTCTCAGAATCAGCAGGTGCCCCGTCCCCTGGTACAGTTCTGAGGTGGAACCTCCACTGCCTAATCCAGGGAAGGGACAGTCTCTATCCAGGAAACCTTCCTGCCCTCCCAAACCCAACCAAAATTACAAAATAAAGCGGCAGAACAGCCTGGACAATGCCAGCAGGCACTGCCTGTGAGCACTGCACGTCCTGAACCCCGGTGCAGAACTCCAGGTGTGTGTTTTAGCAGCTGGTGTTACAGAGGAGCACAAAAGGTGAGGGATAATGCAGAGCTAAATGACACAGGAAAGCAAACAAAGGCACTTTGTTCTCTGGACCTCTCCCTGCCATTTAAATGCATGAGATCAGGTCTGCTCCTCATCACAGAAAGCTAAAATTTGATCCTGTATTTCCAAATTTCCTCTGCAACCACCCCACCAGGGGCATTTTGTCACAAGTTCGTGGGCAATAGGATGCACACTCTTTGTTGTGCTCCTTTCAAGATCCCTTCTCCATCTCTGCAATCAGGAGGAAGCACGTGTCCCCTCTCACAGATACCAGGGATATTTCTGTGCTCATCAGACTCGAATCTCAGATGGGGCAGCTCCTATTTTAAGGCCTTAAGAGCCCACTAAGGAAAGCAGAGTGCACCCAGGGTAAGAAAGAACTGAAAATTTGGTCCTGGAAATGGGTGTAAATCAGGAGGATGCTGTACAAGAGACTGAGGCAAGAGCAGTGACTTGTAACAGGAATTTCTCTCCCCAACACAGAAAACAACAATTTAGGGAATGGATGAGAAGGCTCCTGTAGTTATGCAGGCCTATTTCCTAACATGCATTAACCAACAAGGTCAGAAGCTATTTTGAAGCCAACTCCCAAGACATAAGCCAGGTATAAAGCCAAGACAACTGCAGAGGAATTGCCAGGAGCTGGAGATTAGGAGATTATCAGATTGAAGAGTCTCAGGAGGAAGCAAAAATAGCCCAGACCCCGTGAAGAGGCCGAGCAGTGACGCAGGACACTGAGCAGGACCTGAGGGCAAGGCAGGGCAGGTTTCAGGTGCTATTGATACACCTGCCCAGACAACCTGGGTTCAGTTAAACAAAAAAAAATAAACCATTTCCCTGCCCTCTGCCTCAGCAGTTCAAGCCCTGTGACACCAAGCCAGCCAGGAAACAGGATCTACTCCTGTAAAATAAATCCCTCCAACCCAAACCATGGGGTTTGCAGAACCAGAGACCAGGGGGGTTGCACAGGAGGGAGCAGCTGCCCTTTGAGCCAGCACTGGAATTAGGCTGCTGCAGTGCCCCAGAGGGAAAATCCTGCACCAGAAGGATCCCACAGGGGTTTTTCCACAGCAGCACATTTACTGTCAAGGAAGCAGAGGGATTTAGGGCAGGAGGCTCCAGGCTAAGGCACTTCCCAAGGTCCCCAGAGCCCCCCAGTTGCCAAGTCCTACTGCACAGCTCACCAGGCTCTGATTTTTGTAGCAGCCTGCTCATCTCTTTTTTCTTTTTTTTCTTTTTTTTTTTTTCATTTTAGCTAGAGCTTTCCAGACTTCACCCTCTCACAATTAATTTGATCACAGCCCTGCAGCCAGTGGATGGAGCTGCTCTTCCCCCATTTCCAAGGCACCCAAACACTTTCTCCTGCCCCCTTTTTCACACTGATTGCATTCAAAGTCTGAAACCACGTGCACAACACCAACTAAATCAGCTATTTTTGGGCTGAGCCAAAGCCAAGCTCTGCCCAGACCCTGAGGCTGACTCCCTCAGCTTTCCTCTTACCTTTGCCACTTCCACCAGGGATGGCCCAAACCCACAACCCTGGGAGATGGAGGAATCCCACAACCACACACACACACACCATGTGTGCTGCCCCTGGGAATCCCAACAGCTCACATTGTACTGTGACACTCTGGGAAACACAGAGCCCTGGAAAAGCTCACAGCCTGTGTGGGATGCTGAGGGAAGGGTCGTGGGGAGAGCAGCTTGGCACAGCTCTGGGAGATGGCTCTGCAACAAGAAATCAGCACATCAAAACACAGCCACACATCACAGCTCTGGACGAGGCAGAGCAGGGATTTATTAACCTCGCAGACACCCACAGCTCCTCAGAGCTCCTAATAAAATACATTCTCCCCATTAATTGGGGAGGGAAGTCATGGTCCAGGAGCAGCTTTGAAGATGGACTCATGCACATCTGCCTCACATTCCTGTTAGTGCCTCCCTCCCTCCTTGCCTATCAAAACCTCATGGATATAGAAATGGATTTGAACATGGATCCTGGATGGTTTAGCATTACAGGACTTGAACTGCTGAGGCAGAGGGCAGGGAAATGATTTATTTGGGTTTTTTTTTCTTTAATTGACTGCAGGAAACTGGTATGGAAGTCCCTCAAGAAGGGTCTGGCCTGCCTAGCCCACTGAGGCAGCCCTGTGCCAAGCTGGCCTTTAGCTAAAGCTGCCTAGAGAAGACTCAGAGAAATCCCAAGTGACAGCTCAAGGAAGAGATTACTTTCAGAAATGATTACGTGTGTGCTCCTTATTTTTAGGATTTGTTTTGAAACTGTTTCCAAGCATGTAATCAATTATTTAACCCCTTGGTTTCCTAAAATAAAATCAGCGTTAGAATAAAAGTTAAAATGTAAGATTTGATCTGGTATTCTGGGTAAAGTGTGCAGGTGCTAAGCAGGGCAGCCTCAGAGGCTGGAGCTTGTCTTTTGTTACACATCTGACTCTGATGCTCTGGCTGCCTCAGTAATTAATTGCAATTTGAACTGAGCTCTGCCCCACTCCTTTGCTAATCTTAAATTAATCACGTCATGAGCTTTTTCCGCTTTTCCCAACCACAGTTGTGTGAGCGAGTGACAAATCTCACTAATTGCAGAGGAAATGGTTCTCCAGCCTTACACCTGATCCAGCTGGAGCAGAGCCAGAACCAGCCTGGCCAGGAGGCCCAGATATCCCAGGGCAGCATCCCAGATCCACCAGGCTGGACCCAGCGCGCCCAGAAACGATGTGGGCCCAAAGCTGCCAGGGAATTTAACATTGGGAGGACACAGAATGTGCAGGGCAGTTCACACAACTCCCCAGTTAAGCTTATTAGAAGCACATTAAGAGCAGAGCCCAGCTGGCTCCTGTGGCTGCCCACAGAGCCACATCCTGCCTCGCCACCCTGCCAGCCCAGCCACCTCACACTGGGTCAGCTGCACCTACTGGGGGAGCAAAGTCCAGCTGTGCTGCCTGGTGGGAAGATGATTAGAGAGGAATTCTTCCCTCTCAGGCTGCTGAGGCACTGGCAGGGGTTGGGCAGAGAAGCTGTGGCTGCCCCATCCCTGGAAGTGTTCAAGGAAAGGTTGGGTGAGGCTTGGAGCACCTCATCTAGTGGAAGGTTCCTGTGTTCCTGTTCTTGGTGAGGCACTTGGAACAAGGTGGTTTTTAAGGTCCCCTCCAACCCAAATCATTCTGTGCTACAGCCAGAATTCCACCTCTCCCTGGAAACCTGCTCAGAAACACAGAGCCTGCTCTGGTGTGAGCATTCCTAAAACACACCTGCCTGTGGGACCGAGCCCTGCTGGGCTTTGTTTGATGAAGCAACCCCAAAACACAGCCAGCCCTCCCCAGGTCCCAGGCAGGACACAGTTTAATGTGTGAGCTGAAGTGCTACTGGCCCATGAGTTTGGATAAAGGTGGATTATCCTCTCTCTGGAACAACAAAGGGCAGCCAGGGCACCAGGACATTTCTGTTGCAGCCCCACCACCAACTCCTCCTTCAACTCCAAACTGTCAAAGACAGAATTGCTGCAACAGGGTGTGGTGTCTGCCCTGACACCCAGCACGTACAAAAGGTTGGGGCAGCTGTGAACTTCTCTCCCACAGCCTGGTCCTTCCTCCTCCCCTACCTGAAGCAGAAGAGTGGAACAGTTTCACATTGCTATTTTTGGCCATCTGTTTTTAAGGGTGTAGAAATGAGCAAAGGCCATAGAATGCCCCAAATAATCATTAGGTGTTAAAAATCTGAAAAAATATTCTTTGCTTTCTGTTAAACCCACCAGGACAAAAAGTGAGCTTGAGAAGGGGAGGCACAAAGGGTTCCTGAGTGATGAAATACAATGTGCTCAACATGGATGTACTGTTTACCTGTATCCCCAGACTCACTGAGGGTTTCAGGTGTGGGGAGCATTTCCAGGCTCCCACACATCCAGCAGGACAGGAAACACTTCCCATGGTAAGCCTGGGACATCATCACAGTGCCTGGATCTGACCCTGGTAGCAGCAAGTGTCACAGCAGGAGGGGAACACAACATTTTCATGCATTTCACATCCTCCCTGTGCTCCACAGCACCCTGACCCAGGGCTGGAAGAAGCAGACAACAACCAGCTCTGCTCCAAGCCTGGCTCACCAGCTTTGCAATCCCTGCTCCCTGGGAAGGCAGGAGCTCACCAAGAGCGAGGACCATCATCCCCACTGATGCCACAGGAGGTGACAGCCAGGGTGTGGGGTGGCCCTGTCCCCTCCAGACAGCCCTGGCGAGGGCAGGGACACAGAGGCTGCCATGAAGTGAGCACACAGTGCTTCACACAGGCTGGGACTCACCATCCAACTGAGGATGCTGGCAGGATGCTTCAGTGCCTGCTGCGTGCTCTCCCTGCTACAGGCAGGGGATTTCTGGGCAGTGAATCACGCAGCTGCACCAGCAGAGCAGCTCAGCTCGCAGAAGGGCACCCAAGGGTCCCCAGCAACAGCAGCTCCTCTCAGAGGAGTCTCTGTAAGCCCTTCCTGAGGGCTGACACGAGTCCCTGCCGGGCTGTCCTCCTCCCAGCCTGCTCTCACAGCAGCCCCACGGGGCTGCCGGCACACAGCAGCACCCACAGCCGCATCCTTCCTCTCCAGGGCTCGTCACAGCCCGGCCTGTGACACAGAGCTGGCTTTGAGGGCAGAGTGCTGAGAGGCACAGGGAGCACAGCCAGGCCCCCGGCCAGCCCCTCCACCCTGACAGCCCAGAGAGACAACCCAAAGGTCCTAGGAGATGGGAAAAGGACTTTTGGGGACAGCAGGGCAGATTGTCCCTGGGCATTGCTGGGCTGAGGCAGATACAGTACCATGAAATGGTTTGGGTTGGAAGGGACCTTAAAGACCATCTGGTTCCAGGGGCAGGCACACCTTCCACCAGCCCAGGCTGCTCCAAGCCCCATCCAAGCTCATCTTGAACACTTCCAGGGATAGAGCAGCCACAGCTTCTCTGTGCCAGGGCCCCACCACTCTCCCAGGGAGGAATTTCTCCCTAATAACTAATCTAAACCTGCTCTCTATCAGTGTGAAGCCATTCCCCCATGTCCTGGCCTTTCCCCAGCCTCATGTGCTGCTGTCCCGAGCTCTTCCAGTCACACACTCCCACCCACCGCCTCCAAGATGCCCTCAAGACCAGGGGTGCTATACTGGAGAGGGGGAAACCGGGTTGGGGGGCTGCTCTGAAGTCCCCCCCCCATGGCCAGGGATCCAGCCCGTCCCATTGCCATGGGCACAGGGTGGGAGCAGACACAGGGAATGGGGAAAGCAGCGAGGAGCATCCCAACACCGACCTTCCAGCACCCCCAGCATCCCCGCTCTCCCGATGGTCGCCAGCCCCCGGGGTGGCACATCCCGGCGCGGGCTCTGTCCCCTGCCGTGCTGCATCCCCACTTCTTGTCCCCCGGGAAGGTGGCACCGCTTCCCCTTTTCCCTCTGGTTTAGCCCCCTTGAAAGGGGGAACGGCTCCTCTTTTCCCCCCGGTTTAGACCCCTGGGAGAGGAGAACCGGCTGCCCTTTTTCCTCCGGGAGAAGCCCCACGGGGACACGGTCCCCATCCTCCCCCCGCGGCACCCCCGGCACGCACCGCTGGTGACCCGCTGCAGCCCCAGCACGTCGTCGGGCCCGATGAGCGCCTTTCGGCCCAGCTCCTCCTCGGTCCTGGCCGCCGCCGCCCCGGCCCCGCCGCTCTTCTTCACCTTCATGGCCCCGCCGCCGCCGCCGGTGTGAGCGGCCCCGGCCCCGCTGCGCGCCGCCGCACCGGGAGGGGCATCGCCATCACCGCCCCCGGCCCGCCCCCGGCCGCGCAGCACCGCCCGGCCCCGCGGGAAGGGGGAGGAACGGCGCAAAGAAGGAAAGCGGCCCTTCCACGCTGCTCCCAGGGGCTCGGGGCAAGCCCTTGCTGCTGGAGGAGACTGGGGTCTCCCCCTCCTGAGAAGCCCCCGCCATGGGGGTCAGCCCCCCAGGTGAGGTGGGGACAGACCTGGCCCAGAGCAGGGGGACAGCCGCCCCAACCACCCTCAGACCCACACACGGTGGAGGAGCTGGATCGCGGGCTGCCCCCGGGGGCTCTACACCCATGGATGGGAACTGCCCCCCCCAGAACTGTCCCCCCTCCCCAACCAAGTATTTTTTGCTAAATACCCATAAGACAGGAGCCAGAGCCCATAAAGCAATGGATGGGGGCAGGAAAGCTGGACCAGGGGAAGGCAGGGCAATAGGTACCCCCCAGAAGGCTAAAGGAGGCTCACACAGCCCCACATCAGCCCCCCACAGAACAGGGGGTTCTTTATTTACACAGCAGCTTCTTCTGACTACAGCACCAGGCTGGGGGTGCACAAAGGCAGCTCCCCCCCTCCCCTCTCTGCCTCTGTGGGTGCAGGAAGGCTCAGCACCCAAATTGAGACCCCTTCCCACCTCCCAAAGCAGCCTCTCTTCCCACTCCTGCATCCTGGCCCTGGCACACCCAAGCCAAGCAGCCTGGACCCTGGGGTGCCTTTCTGGGCCATGAGTCTGTGACAACACCACCCCACAAGGTGGGGACAGCCCCAAGCCAGGGCAGCATCGCTCAGTCCATCTTGGTGGGCTCCTTCTTACGCAGCCTGGTCTCCCGCACAATCTTGACCAGGGACAGGAGAATTGGGACAGCCATGGGCAGGAAGAGCGGGATGTAGATGGCAAATTTCTGGTCGTCAGGGAAGTAGAGGAGATGGAGGAGAGATGGGTCAAAGAAGGCCCTCTCCGAGGAGGTGACAGCCTCCTTGCTGGCCTGGAAAGCTGCGAGCAGGTGACCCAGGGACAGCTCGGTCACAGCGCTCTGGACCGAGGCCACTGCCCGGTACACCTGTGTGGGAACAACACCAAGGGTCAGTCCCTGGCGAGGGAGGGCAAGAGGGACACTCAGCCCCCTCTGCCCTCCCAGCCCTACCTCAGAGGCAACATCATCCTTGATGACGATGTTCCCGATCTTGTCCAGGAGCTGGGCCAGCGAGGTCAGCGTGGTGGACACAGTGGCGATGTTCTCCACCGTGTGGGCCCACAGCAGGTGGTCCAGCTCCCAGTCTGCCAGCCCCTCATTCCCTGGGCTTTCCAGCAGGAACTCTGGGGGCACCTCTTCCCGAGACAGCCCAAAGAGTAACCTGCGAGTAGAAGGGATGGTCCCAGCCCACATCAGAAGCCTTCATTCCCCTGAGCTCCCTGTTCCTCTTGCCTGTTGTGTTTAGTCCCAATCCTGCCTGTCTCCTGGATGTGTGGCATGATAAGTCAAGCCTCCTATCTGAGGAAATGGGAGATGTGCCAGCATCCCTGGCCACAGAGCAGTGATGGCCAGTAGCCAGCACCTCGAAGGCCACAAAGAGCCACCCTCAGCCTCCCAGAGCCCACAGAGGGAGGAGTGAAAAAGCTGCTTGGGTACAGCCTGTTCTGACCCCACTGATTTCCACAGAGGCCTGGGGAGGGAAGAGCACATCCTCACCGGAGCTGGGCCAGGAAAACCTCCATCACTCGTGCCATGTCCACATCCACATGCAGAGGGAGGGAGGTTTGGGGGGAAGCAGGGGCTTCAACGTTGTAAACCTGTGGGAATGCATGTTAATGAGGCACAGCCAGGGCCTCAGGGCCAACAGGGTCACCAGCTGGGAAAGAGAAGCCACCACCTTGTCCCAGCACTGCTAGCACCCCCATGGTTCCCATACCATGATGCCACCCCAGCGAGGGCTGTGGAAGGCGTTGGTGCTCACTGGGGCTCCATCCTTGTCCTGGATGTACAGAGGGGAGTGGGAGCGCTCTGGCACATACAGCAGGAAGTTCAGCACGGGGTAGAGCGAGGCAGCACTGGAGCCTGCAGTGGGACAGAGTCACAGAACTCTTGTGGCTGGCAGGGACAGCAAGAGCAGCCCACAGCTCAGCTCCTCCTTCACAGCCACCCCAGCAGCTCTCACGTGGGCTGGGGGGAAAGGGAGCCACAGTCCCATGAGACAGACCCCAGTAAGCCACGAGCACAGAGCTCACCCAGCCGGGCCTCCACAGGGTTGATGACGTGTGGGAGGCTGTGAGCACTCAGGAGGAAGCTGGAGGACTCCTTGTCATAGCGTGGTGTCACTCCTAGGACAGCGTAGTACAGGATCTGCAGGCACACAAGGGACACGCTGCTGGCAGAGAAGTGCACCCCAGGGAGGTCAAGGCTGGGCTTTCCCCACCATCTCTCCCAGCCCTCACCTGTGAATCCACAGAAAAGTTGGCCACCAAGCTCAGTTTGTCCAGGACGGGCTTCACAAAGCGGTTCACAGCCCCCTCGATGTCCCAGTCCACGGTGTGGGACTTGGGGTCAGGGTTCAGCAGGCTGAAGGTGATCTCATACCCTGCAAGGACCCGCAGCCTGTGAGCCACTGAGGCCGTGACAGAGCTCCCAAGAGCAGCAGGACCTGTCCCCTCCTCCCTGGCCCACCCCAGTGAGGTGACACCAACAGAGCAACCACAGCACAACCCTGGCCCAGAACAACAGCTACATGCAAAGGGATCTGTTAGCCCAGAAGACATCCAGGGATGCCACAAGTAGAGCAGGTATAGCATCTTCCCCAGGAGCAGGAGGCTTCCCGAGGCCAGGGAGCAGGGATGGAGGATCCATACCCAGGCTGGATTTCAGGTTGCGCCGCGCGTCGGGGCCGAGCCGCCCGTCGGGCACGCGGTCCGAGAGGGCGGCGGCGATGGAGCTGGCCGTGAAGGACATCACCTGTGTCACCTCCCGCAGCCGGGCCTGCAGGGCAGCCAGGCTCCCCCCAGCCCTCACCAGGGCGCTGCGGTGCTTCCCCACGTAGACAGCGGTGCCCTGGGGATGGCACGGGGTGAGGGCTGGGAGCGGCACGGTGCCACCTGTGACAGCCGCCTGTGACACGTGCCACCTGCCAGGGGTGAGGCACGCAAAGGCTGGCACCACAGCGTGCCACTCCCTACCTGAGGCAGGAAAGAGGAGGTTTCAGGGACCACGTACATGGTCAGAGAGCCCAGGGTGGTGTCCTGCAGCGGGTACAGAGCAGCATCAGCCTCTGGGGAAGATGGAAGCACTGGCAGGGTTGGGAATTTCACTCCAATCCCTGTCTCACTCTGACACAAAGCCAAAGGTGTTCTCTGCTCTGCCAGCCTCAGGAAAAGTTGCTCCCCAGCAACTCCCTGCTCCAGTACCTCGTGCAGTCGCTGCAGCCAGTGCTGCCTCCTCCTGAGCCGTGGTGCTGCGATAGCGCATCTCATAGCGGGACGTGACGCTGCTTCGCACTGGGGGCAGAAAACCTGAGTGAATCTGCTGATCCCAGGCCCCTCACAGGAGCCTGGTGCTCACAGGGACAAGGGACAACCCCAGGAGGTCCTTTGGGTGCCAGTGGGGTGAACCACTATGGGATGTAGTGCTGCACTGGTAGTGAGACAGCCCCACACCAGCCAGACACATCCCACCTTCCAAAGGCTCCATCATCCCCAGGCAATGGAGCTGGTCCCTTCCCTGCAGCACCCTGGGACCTCATTGTCCCAGCTCTGCTCCCCGCACTGCCAGCTCAGGGCAGGGTGATGCTGGAGAAGGGGGCTCGGGGTCCCGGGAGCTCCGGGCTGCCGGGGAGTGAAGCCACGCGCAGGTTGGGACCCCCACGAAAAGACAAGGCCACGCATGAGGAGCAGACGGGGTAGGGACAGACAAGGGGGTCTCTCACGGTTCACGGAAATCTCCATCTCCTGCACGTCCCTGAAGGGCAGCGGCATCGGCAGGTCCCCGGGCACCGATCCCGGGGCGAAGACCACGGCCATGGGCACCACCAGCTGAACCTGCACGGGGGCAGCGTCAGCCCGGGCTGCCGAGCCCCCCGAGTCGCTGCCCCCGGGCCCGCCCGGCGCTCACCGGCTGCTGGCCGAGCTCATCGATGTCCGCGTAGGGCAGGGCAGCGCGGTAGGTCTCGGTCGTTTTCCACCACAGCGGCAGCCCCAGCACCACGGCGATGGTCGCGAAGGACAGGGCGGCGCGCCGGCCCCGCGCCCGCTCTGCGGGGACAGCGCTCAGCACCAGCCCGGCTCCCCTGGGAGCGGGGTCGGGGAGCCGGGAGACAGTGAACAAACACCGAGCATCCGCGCCCGCCAGTACCTGCCTCATCCGCCGCCATCGCCGCCGCCGCCACCATCTTTACTTCCTGGCCCAGCCGGGGGGGCGTGCCTTGCGCCAGCCCAGCCAATCAGAGCTCAGAATTCCTACAGCACCCAATGGGCGCGGCGTGCGCCGCGCGGCGGCACAGACGGGCGGGCAGCAGAACCAATCAGAGCACGTATCGGCCGTGAGGGGACGAGCTTTGCCCTCTACGAGTGCCGCGGAGGGACACGTGGCGGCGCCTCCCGTGGGCACCGGGGCAGCGCCGAGTACCGGCAGCGGGGGGACCGGCGCTCCTCACCCGCCCCATCGCCCTTACGGGGAGCCCACCCACCCCCCGCCAAGCTCACGGAGCCTCACGATGTGTGTGGGCGGGCTGCGACCCAGCACAGCTCATTGTGTAAGTGAGCACAACACGCTGCCGGTGATGCCCGGAGCGGGAGTTGGGGGGGGGGGGACAAGAAGCTCCCGGCTGGCCCGCGGCGAGGAAAGAGGCGGCACAGCGCTGTCTCTACCATTTATTCGTTGTTAGGCTATTTGGTACACGGGGTGCACACGGCGAACACAACACAGGCGCCCCAA